ATTAATATTTTAAAATCTAACTGCCTCGCCAATTCTGATTCTAGGCAAAGAGTGCCTAATCCTGTTACACGCGTTTGTGTAGAACAGGAGCGATGAAAGTTTTTAATCCTGGACAGTATGCTAAAAGAACGCTCACCACTAGCAACAGATACTGGCAGAGTACAAAATATTCGTAAAGCTACACAAATATTTGAAAACAGTGTATCTAGCTTATTAGAAGTAATAGCTTTTAACAAATCAAATGGAGAGAGATCGGCTTCAAAGTTTGCTTTGTAGATGTGTTTTAGATGGATTATTTCATCTATTAATTCTTTAGACACATCAACAGCGTATTTCTTAACAAAATTAGTGGCGTCGACCCGAATGTCCTCTCCATCTAATGTTGTAAATTTCCACAAAAAAGAAAAAGTGTTATTCAAATCATTCATAGCTGTAAATCGATTAGAAATTCCTGCAATAACTGAATCTACAATTACAAAGAAAGTATTTCTTTTAAAATCGGTTTCTTCGTCAGTAGTGGTACTGGTGGAATCTTCATCCTCACTTTCGGAAAATGTCTTAGCTCGTTTATTTTTTCTTTTATTCGCAGACAATATTGACGAAGTACCTTTTAACCCACTTGCGACTAGTTTACATTCGCGTAAAATGGCATCCCATTGATTTCGTATTTGCTGCATATCCGAAAGTAAACTTTCAAGATTTTTAATTTTGACGTCAATTGTAGCATTTCTAGCCTGTAGAACGATGCTTCTTTCATTGATGGCATTTAGAATTTTTGACCAGATAGATGCCATCAAGATACATTCAAATTTACAAATGTATTTTTGAATTCCACTAACATCTCTACGAGTTTCCGCGGTCAAATTGAGTGTCTTCAAGTCTTCTAACGCACTTTGAAGTCCAGGAAGATGATTTGCAAAAGGTTTTACAGCGTCAATTCTGGCGGACCATCGCGTCTCAGATAAGCTGTGAAGTGAAGATCCAATTTTATTTTATAAAATTTCCCAACGCTGCGGACTGCTGCTGAAAATAGTGTAGCATTTTTGAACGACGCCGAAAAACGTGATGGCTTTGGAACAACACTCGGCAGAATCTACTCCACATAGATTCAAACTGTGGCCGGAACAGGGTGAATAAACAGCAAGTGAATTATCTTGAAGAATGTAGCTTTGTGCTCCTTTATATTTACCTTTCATATTACTACCATTATCGTAACCTTGTCCGCGGCATTCAGTCAAAGGAATGTTATGTTTTTTTAAAGTGTCACGTATCAAATCAGCAATAGCCGCACCAGTTTTCTTATTACGATCAACAAACTCTAAAAAACGTTCTTCAATCGTATACTTTTTTTCTTCTGGATTTAAATGAACATAGCGTAAAATAAAAGTAGTTTGTTCAACGTGAGCGGAATCGGGTGTAGCGTCGACAATTAAGGAATAATATTTTGCCTTTTCTCGTTCTTTTAATATGACCGATACTATATGACGAGCACAGAGATCTATAAATTCGTTTTGTATGTCTGGCGAAAGATAATGGCATTGCAGACGCTGGTGCTGTTGTTGAGACGTCTTCACTTTTTCCAAATGCTCGTGTAATACCGGATCGTAGTGGCTAATCAATTCTAAAATTCCCAAAAAATTTCCGTTGTTTCGCTTTCCAATAAGGTGGCTTTTCCCTCTCAGTGCTAAACCTCTTTCTCCCAGAAACAAAATTGTATCTAAAATACGTGTTAAAATTTCTTGCCATTTTTTAACTTCACCCTTGATTTGTTTACACAACAGCTTGTCAATTGAAGATTCATTTCGGATACTCATTTCCAGTCCACGCCACTTCACATAACACTGAATGTGATCTTTATTATTCTCATGTGGCTGCAGTCTTTCGTATAACTTTTTCCACGCCAGATTTTTTGAATATCCGCCCGGAGAACAAAGATAAGAACGATTCACTGTGTTTGTACTAAATAACCGACACGGAAGACAAAATAAAGCACTCTTACTGCGGCTCCAAACCAACCAATCGCGTTCCACCTTTTCACCATTAGGCAAGTTTTTGAACAGCAGCGATACGGGAAACCGTTCGTTTAACCGATCACGAAAAAAAGCAGAAGGCATTTTTTCATGGCCTCTGCGAATCACTTCATCAACTAGTTGTGGAAGTAAAAAATCAGTTTCTATAGTACCAATGTCATAGTCGTGAAGATGTCTAGTCAAGTGCATTTGAAATGTTGGTTGCTCTTCTGATTCGCGTTCTGTAGATGTGGACTTTTGAATCGTTGCAACAAAATTTACATCAGTTTCTACAGACAGATTTTCTTGCACTAGTTGCACTAGATCAGACAAAACAAAAGTAACAATTGTTTCAGCTTGGTTACAATCTGGTTCAGTTGTCGTGGATGAAGAAGTACGCGGAAACGACTGACTATCTCGCCTTTCAGTTGAATCATGACTTTGATTTGCGCTGACATCTAAATTTTCCTTAAGGCGAAAATTAAAATCAGGAAGAGTTGCCTGTCCTCTTTCTGCAATTAAATTTCTCTGTTCGCGATCTATGCGTTCTTTTCGCTTTAGCGAACCAGATTTGTGATGATAGAAATAGGACATTTCTACATTTTATTTACCTAAAAATCAACAATAATAATTTTAACAATAGTAGCATTGCAAAAAAAGAACGAGAATTAAAAGATCCAAAACAAAAATATGAATAAAGGCAAATTTACTTACCTGCATGTCAAGATTCGAGAGAACAAGCACAGAGCACAGACAGGACAGATGCTATGAAGAGACGAACGCAGTGGCAATAAAACACGACGCGACGCGTATAAACAAAAGCGCATCTAAATCTTCGACGTGGCGATAAAACACGACGCGACGCGTAGAAATAAAAGCGCATCTAATTCATCTAAACACGATTTTTCGACGCTTGCTTATAAATACGGAAACTACAGAACTGCCCAGATAGCAAAATATTCTTTAAAAAGCCAACTTTTGCAGGTATTTCATTCCGCTGCTGTGCCTATAACTTATATCTACTTCTATTAATTCTTGCAATTCATTCTTTGGTTTGTTTAAATTATATAAATAATTTTTAGATCTTGTATAACATAGTACTTTGATTTTATAAAACATTTTCGAAAAAATATTTTTTTATATATCTAGTTACATAAATTTATTTATTCTTAATCTATATTAAGGGATGCCGGAGGTCTACTATTATCGGCCGAACCGATTATATTTTCCAACACCAAGAAGTTTTTATTGCGTTAATAGAATAACAAATGCTTTTCCACGATTAAAGTTAATACAATAATATACTGCGAAGCTGTCTCAATTTGTGATAAAAAGACAAAAAATTTTTAAATACGAGTTTTTTTTCTGGCTTCTCGCGTCACGTCATAACAATATTTGCTTGTATAAAAGTTTCACAATTTATACGTACAAAATAAGACCACTTTGCGGAAAAGATTGCATAAAGGAATATTAGTGAGCTTGCAGAAATAAGTTTAGAAGTCTAATAAAAAAGATCTTGGTTATGGAATATTTCATTCACATGTGTATGTGCGAAATGACATTTGGGAATAATACAGAGCACAAAATTAGTTGCGCGATGTCGCGATAGATGGAGCTGCAATCGTGCAGTTAGACAAGGACAGACAGTCATATTATCTTTGTCTCTCTCATGCTGTCTTGTCTTCTGACCACGGTGTGTATACGACCGTGCTTCTGACACTCTCTCTCTCTCTCTCTCTCTCTCTCTCTCTCTCTCTCTCTCTCTCTCTCTCTCTCTCTCTCTCTCTCTCTCTCTCTCTCTCTCTCTCTTTCAAATTGCTCGTTCATAATTGTATGCGAGTGATTTGAGAAAGAGAAAATATGCTTTCTAAAAGTATGTAGATATAATATGCCAATATTATATATATGTATATATATATGTATATAATATATATATGTATATATATATATATATATATATATTTTCATCATATATTTTATATATATATTTTTTTATCAAATATTCCGATTTATTATGTACGTAAAAATGCGCGTCAGATCTTTCGTATTCGCGCGGTATCAGTAGTATGTACAATATGTACCACAGTAATCCGCGCGTATTATACGTTGATATGATCTACTGTGCGACGCCTTACTCACGTCGCGCGGTGCTATACACGTTCATACGCGTAAAAAGCAGCGTATACTTGAGTTTGTGTGTTGTCCACACCATGGGACGAAAATATGACGCCAAACATTTGCCCCTTTCGAAACGTAGAGTTTCCTTCAAGAAGGGCTGGATGTACAGGTTAGTTTATTTATATACATTTTCTATATATGCATACATACACACATATATATATATATATATATATATATATATATATATATATATATATATACACATATCTATTGATTTATTTAGCAATCTGTCTATCTATCGAACTATCTATCATCTATCGATCAACCTATCTATCTATCTATCTATCGATCTATCTGTCTCTTTTCTCTTTTCTACATTGCATTCTTTTATATATGCACACGTACATAATAATTTTTTTAAAATATTGTATATTACAAAAGTAAAAATAATTAAATTTATAATCTAAAAATATATAAAAATCTTTTATGAATATAATAATTACAAAGTTTTAATAGATAATTTTTTGTAATAAATAAATGATTTATATAATTTATTCTTATCTAACTACTGCTCTGTTTTGATAATAATAGTATTATTATGTATTCAATCTCTAAAATACTTTTATATAAATCATTTATTACAAAGAATTATTTACTTTATAATCAATTATAATTATTATAGATAGGCCTGTTTATACACATACATATATATATATATATATATTGTGTGTAAGTGTGTGTATGTGTGTTCGCGAACTCAGTAAAATACTAAAAAGAGAGAGCGCGGGAATACCGGCGCACGTGGTCGGGAAAAAGATGGTGGTTTTACGCGGCGACAATAGACGAGGCGGGGAAATAAATCACTCGCGCTTCGTAACAGTCAATGGTCTTTTTTATTCCGCACAATCACAAATGTACACAACTAATTCGTCACGATAGACAGAAAATTAATATACGAGATATAATACGATGACTTGAACGACTTATTATTTGATACGTTACTGAGAGCGATACAGAACACGTGTACACTGACTCAAGGATTACTCCAGAATGCTTCCTTCTTCCTCGTCACTACGGAAGTGACGGGACGACCGCGCTAATCAGATATCGATCTAAACGGAAATCAATATGATTGCTATCAATCGATGCTCTGAGCGACGCCGCGATCTCAGAGATGGCGCGTGCATGTCGGTTCGCACGCTCGGCAACACACTCGCACGAACATACCGCTCGCCTCGCTTATTTAATAAGCGACAGAAACAATTTATAATAAACTAATGATTAGTCACATCAGTTGACTAGGATAAATGCTAATTTACATTTTAATGTTATACATAAATGTAATTAATCTACACTTAATCTATAGATATCACAGACGCGAAATATCGGGCGTTGGGCGCCGCCCGCCGTAAGGTATGATACCCAAAAAAAAAAAAACACACAAAAAAAAGAAATGGAACTACAGATTGTGATCCTTTTCGTCTCGATCAGCGATCGGAAGGAGACACAATTTGTGGATCGGTCGTCGAAAGGTAGAGGTAGCAGTCCTCACCTCGCAAACGCGGATCAACCCATCTTCACTCGGGAAGCACTGTGTTATACGCCCTAATTCCCATCTAGAGGGTGGAGCATTGTCATCCTTAATGATGACAATATCACCCACGTTTAAATTTGCGCGCTGATTGTGCCATTTATTGCGCTTCTGCAGAGAGTTAAGAAAATCCAAGCGCCAAACCTGCCAAAATCGGTCTCGCATCCGCTGAACGAGTTGATATCTCGTCAATCTCGATTCCGGACGATCTAGTAGCGAAGCATCAGGCAACGCAAGAAGTGGAGCGCCGGTCAAGAAGTGACCGGGAGTCAAATACGATAGATCGTCTGGGGAATTCGAGAGTCCAGCGATCGGTCGCGAATTTAGGCAGGCCTCTATTTGACACAACAGTGTCTCTAATTCGGCAATGGTTAGCGTATGTACGCCAACTATACGCTTTAAGTGGTGCTTGACCGACTTTACTCCAGCTTCCCAAATCCCGCCAAAGTGTGGAGCGGAGGCTGGAATAAAGCGCCATTCTATGCCTAACGAGGCCATAGATGATTCGACGGCACCATCGCACATACTAGCGTGAAAAATACGGTATAATTCCGTCTGCGCGCCACGGAAATTGGTTCCGTTATCGCTTAATACAATCGCAGGAATACCGCGGCGTGAACAAAATCGTCGAAAGGCGGCGATGAATGCTGCGGAAGACAGATCGGTAACGAGTTCTATGTGCACGGCACGGGTTATCAAGCACACGAAAAGGGCTATATAGGCCTTACGGGATTGATGACCACGTCCGGCGAAGGCGCGCACTGGCAAGGGTCCGGCATAATCTACCCCGACTTTCAAAAACGGACGCGCCACATTAGTTCGTATCTCGGGCAAATGAGCCATTTTCTGACTGCTCAAATTTGCACGATGTCGAGAGCAGATGACACACTGACCAATAACCGATCGTACAATTATTTTTGCTCGGAGTATCCAGTACTCCTCTCGGAGTAGACGTAATGTTAACGACGTTCCCCCATGGAGAGTGCGTAAATGTGCATCACGCACTATTATACGCGTCAGAGGAGTTTGGCTCAGGATTACTGGATGCTTCTGAGCGAATGTCAATGGAGCGTGCATCAATCTGCCTCCCATACGAATAATTCCGTCATCATCAATGAACGGATCCAAAGAAAGTAGCGAACTCGAACGTGGCAATCTTTGCTCGGCTCGCAATAAATGAAGTTCGGTCGCATATAACGACGACTGTATGACCTTGATCCAAAAGGTTTTGGCTTCCGTCATCAACCGCGTAGTGTATAAAAGTTCCGTACATGGAAGCTGTCGTCGTGTCAGTTTCACGAAGCGTAAAATTAACGCAGTTATCTTGAGCAGTTTGCTCCAATCAGAATAGCGAGTGGACAGATCCCACTCGGAGACATTGGTGACGTGAGTGACGACTGACCGTGCCTCAAGGTCAGAAGTCGGCAGACTATCAGAAGAGTCGACAGAGGGCCACTCTTGGGGCTCACAGGAGAGCCACGAGGGCCCGTACCACCATAGTGGATTTTTGATCAATTGAGTCGGAGAGACTCCACGAGAAGCTAAGTCCGCAGGGTTGTCCTGCGTAGGAACATGACGCCAACTTGCCTGAGGACATTGCGTTTGGATGAGAGACACCCGATTCGCCACGAATACTTTCCATGTGGCCGGAGACTTGCTAAGCCAGGCCAATGCGACGGTGGAATCCGTCCAAGCGTAAATGGGGACCTGCTCAAGATTCAACGCAGAAATGGTCCAAGCAAGGAGCCGTGATAAGAGTTCGGCCGCACAGAGCTCCAAACGAGGAACCGAGACCGTTTTCAACGGAGCAACCTTGCTCTTACTTGTTAGCAAGAAAACTTGTGGCTCGAATTTATGGATCACTCGAAGGTAGATCACGGCTGCGTAAGCGGCCTGGGACGCATCCGCGAACCCATGGATCTCGATACTTGAGTCCTCGCGGGAGTGCACCCAGCGCGGGATACAAACAGTAGCAAGCGAGATGAGTCCGTGGCAAAAAGAGATGCACCTTTCATTCAGGTCCGACGGTAGTGTCGTGTCCCAGTCGATCCTAGACAGCCACAATTGTTGAATAAGGATCTTACCGATAATAATGACAGGCGACAACCAACCTAATGGATCGTAGATTCTCGATATATACGAGAGAAAGGTGCGTTTTGTTATATGCGACGGAACTTCTGCACAAATACGAAAACTAAAAGCATCCTCCAATGGTGCCCAATATATGCCAAGGATTTTTAATTGATCATCCTCTTTAAAATCTACGTTTTGTGCAGGATCGCGAATCGTTTCGGATAAATCGGAGATTAAATCCGGACAATTGGAACTCCATTTGTGTAGAGGAAACCCGCCCGCGTTGGTCAGTCCTATCATCTGCTCTCGAATCTCGCGACATTCTTCTATCTCCGACGCGCCAAAAAATATATCGTCAACATATGAATTGAATATGACGTTATGCGCAGCCAGAGGGAAACGATGCTTCTCGTCCTCTGCTAACTGCCGCAAGACGCGCAATGCTAAAAAGGGCGCAGGAGCGGTGCCGTAAGTTACCGTCCGTAACCGATACGGAATTACCGCGTCTTTCTCCGATTGCCTCCAGAGAATTAATTGAAAACGCGTATGATCATCGTGCACGCGAATTTGCCGAAACATCTTCGCAATATCGGCGGCACACACAAACCGGTGCCAGCGCCAACGTAACAAAATGGCACATAGATCAGTCTGCAATTTTGGTCCAATAAGGAGGCAGTCGTTGAGAGACTTTCCATTGCCAGTGCGCGCAGACGCGTTAAATACAACCCTTACCTTCGTCGAAGTGCTACTTGGCTTTAATACCGGATGATGCGGTATAAAGCATCGCTGCTCCTCGACATCCGTGGGCGTATACGGACTCATATGTCCTAATCTTAAATATTCATTTAAGAAATCATTATATTCGACAGCTAACTGTCGATCCTTTTTCAAACGACGCTCCAAAGACGCATACATACGGAGCGAATTTTTGTGAGAATCCCCAATATCAATTGGAAGATTCCCCTTAAACGGCAACGCGACATTGTACCTTCCTGACGTATCACGATTAGTAGTCGCGACGAAGAGGTCCTCGCAATATTGATCCTCAGCGGATAACTGGGTCTGCGAAGGAATCTCCTCAACCTCCCAAAAGCGCTCGATCGCACGAGTCAAATCAGTATTAGGGGTCACGTGTAATGACGAAATAGTCGTATGCGACGACGATACATTGACAGGACCGTCGTCCACCGGACCGCGCAGCACCCACCCGAATCGCGAATGAATAGCATACGGCTCTCCGGGAAACTTCACCCGATCCTGAAGTATTATTTCGTCATAACAATCGGCACCGAGTATTAAGTCGATCGGCTTATCACTGCAGGGGTCGGGGTCGGCCAATGTCAGTTGTCCGACGCCGGTCCACTCAGAGGCCTTAACAAATCGTCGCGGAACATAATTAGAAAGCCGAGATAAAATAAGAGGCTCGATCACGACTACAAGCTGAGACTTATTTCGTGATCGTAGCTCAACGCGGGTGGAGTGCTTCACGACCCCGGAGACGGTGGCGCCAGTACCTGAAATTGAAGCAGAGCACGCAATTCTTTGCACGCGTAACGCTTGAGCAGCTGCTTCAGATATTAACGAGCACTCGGAGCCAGAATCTATGACTGCGCGAAATGGCAGTTCACGACCTTCAGCCGTACGCACGTGTACCCACGCTGTCGCAATTAACACCGGCCTTAACGTTTTTGACTTGGCGACTCCCGAATGACAGGAAGTTACATTAGATAACTTCGCGTGATCGTTACTCGAAACGGAAGTAACCGCGTTACTGTTTATTGACTCGGGATCCGATGTACGCGGTGAGAATGCTTGATGAAGCATTTTATGATGCCGCTTCTTACACTTATCGCAACCCGGTTTGTTTTTACAGCTCGGCGGAAAATGACCTTTAGCGAGACAATTAAAGCATAAATGCGCCGCTCGGGCGGAATCTAAACGTTCGCTCGCAGACATGACCTTGAATTTCGCGCACTTCGATATGTTATGAGCCGCGGAGCACAAATGACAAACAGAAGTATTGGTGTTCGCAACGTGCGAAGTGACCTTAGAGTCAACACCGTTTTTATGTTTTGAATTTTTCGTTACGGCATTGTCGTTCAGGCATGTGACTCCGCTTTTAATCGACGCAACATTTAAAGCGTGTATTTTACCGTTCAGAAATTGCTCAAGTTCGTCATAATTTGGAAATGTTTCTCTTTTACCGATGTTCTCTTCCCAACTCTTTCGAATCGTCGGGTCCAGACGCATAAGCGTCATAACAACTAATATGGAATCCCACGATAATTGATTCAAGTTTTCGAGAGAGACAAGTATTTCGCGAGTTTGATTAACTAGAGTCTCTAACGCGGCCGGACTATCGCCGCTTACGGGCCTAAGTTTTAATAACCGAACTATAAGAGAAAAAGTCAAAACTTGAATATCTTGATAATGATCATTAATTAATTTCCAAGCCGATTCGAAATTTGCATCGGTAATCGGTAAATTTTTAATCAACGACAATGCCGTACCGGTCAAACAACTTTTAAGATAATAAAACTTCTGTACGTTAGACAGTCCAGACTCACGGACGACCATCGAGTCAAACATGTCTCGAAAGTGGGCCCAGTCCTTCTGATCTCCGTTGAAGGTCGGCAGAGGGATGCGCTCGAGACTGGTGAACCTCGAAGTCGACGATGCGTCGGCAGCGTCCCTCCTAATTGACGATGTCGAAGGCATGTTGCTCTGCAAGGCGGTGAGCGCGTCCGTCGCATCAAGAACTCGATCCTCCATGTCACCAAATTCGGTACCTTTGAGATAGTCACTGACGTCCGGATCAATCGAATATGCCGTTAACTCCTCGTGATTGCATCGACATTTGGCCCATAGCTGCGTTAACGTTTGGAGTTTCGTCGAGACTGTAATGGAGGCGGACGTTTCAGTGAGCCTCACAGCCGAATTGCACGTGCGATGAATAGATCGCAAATATTCTCTTTGTACAACGAGCAACGCTATAATGCTGCCCTGAGAACGAGTACGATTTCTCGATTGGTCCGTCGGTAACTTGAGCGTATCTCCAGGCATGATGACGTCACAGTTTATCACTTCACGGCCGAAGAAAAAAAGAATAAGTTAATTCTTCAATAATTATTTACAACGTGATAGATTATCACAAGAGAGTGACTAGCGGATCTAATAAACAACAGTCTCGAACAATCGTAATGACTGGAGTCACTTATCAATCCGATAATTATCACAAGAACGACGAACGAATCCCGAAAGCGATAGATTCGGAATATCGCACTAAACTGAGTCAAATTATCACTCCGATAAATTGTCAACAAGAACGACGAACGAATCGCGATAACTATAGATTCGAATCGTCGTACGAAGTGGAGTCAAATTATCACTCCGAAAAAATTGTCAAAAAGAACGTTGAACGAATCGCGAAAACTATAGATTCGAATCGTCGCACGAAATGGAGTCAAATTATCACTCCGAAAAAATTGTCAAAAAAGAACGATGAACAAATCGCATAGTCGATAGATTCGGAGTAACGCACTAAACGAAGTCAATTATCACTCCGATAAATTGTCAAAAAGAACGACGAACGAATCGCATAAACTATAGATTCGAACCGTCGGACGAAATGGAGTAAAATGATAACTCCGTTCGTATCACTAAATGTCACTGTTCAAGTCACTGTCCGCTAGAATCGAGATTAATCGCTTCTGTTCGCGATTTCACAGACACGTAGAGAAGGGCCACGTGGCAGTCTATCACGTATTACGACACGAATGTGCACATATAAGGGCGATAACTCGATTCGTCGCTCGTGCACTCGATAGTTTATGCACTTTAATTCACCGATTCACGGACTATCCGGCTCGAAGGACCATGTTCGCGAACTCAGTAAAATACTAAAGAGAGAGAGCGCGGGAATACCGGCGCACGTGGTCGGGAAAAAGATGGTGGTTTTACGCGGCGACAATAGACGAGGCGGGGAAATAAATCACTCGCGCTTCGTAACAGTCAATGGTCTTTTTTATTCCGCACAATCACAAATGTACACAACTAATTCGTCACGATAGACAGAAAATTAATATACGAGATATAATACGATGACTTGAACGACTTATTATTTGATACGTTACTGAGAGCGATACAGAACACGTGTACACTGACTCAAGGATTACTCCAGAATGCTTCCTTCTTCCTCGTCACTACGGAAGTGACGGGACGACCGCGCTAATCAGATATCGATCTAAACGGAAATCAATATGATTGCTATCAATCGATGCTCTGAGCGACGCCGCGATCTCAGAGATGGCGCGTGCATGTCGGTTCGCACGCTCGGCAACACACTCGCACGAACAATGTGTATAAACAGGCCTATCTATAATAATTATAATTGATTATAAAGTAAATAATTCTTTGTAATAAATGATTTATATAAAAGTATTTTAGAGATTGAATACATAATAATGCTATTATTATCAAAACAGAGCAGTAGTTAGATAAGACTAAATCATATAATAATTTATTTATTACAAAAAATTATCTACTAAATCTTTGTAATCATTATATTCATAAAAAATTTTATATATTTTTAGATTATAAATTTAATTATTTTTACTTTTGTAATGTACAATATTTTTAAAAAATTATTATATACGTGTGCATATATAAAAGAATGCAATGTAGAAAAGAGAGAAGAGACAGATAGATCGATAGATAGATAGATAGATAGAATAATCGATAGATGATAGATAGTTCGATAGACAGATTGCTAATAAATCAATAGGTATGTGTATAATATTATATATATATATATATATAATATATATATATATATATATATATATACAGAGTGTCCCAAAAGAATCGGAACACTGAAAAATCTCGAAAAGTATACGTTTTACAGAAAAAAGTTTCAGACAAAAGTTATAAAAAATGTATTTATTGATCTTATCAGTTTGACCTTGGACGGCGTTACCAAGGTCAGAATAAGGTCACTTTGAATTTTTTAGATGGAATCCTATAATTTTTATTACATATTCTTGTAGCTTATCTGGAGAGTTTTCCAAAACACTAATAAAATTATTTTTTATGGAGTACTCTTTGATTTATAAAGGCTAACAATTTTTTGACATAAAATGTAAAATATCTTTGTAAAATATTCCATTTTCGGTAATCATATCTTTTTTGCACGGAATAATGAGACCAATGAATTGGTGTAAAAAAACACATAGTTGCTTATAAAAAAAAGTATGCTGCTGCATATTGAATATTACATATTCAATTATCTGTTTTCTTTAATAAATTGATTTTTTATTATACTGTGCAAAAAAGTAGGTATGATTATCGAAAATGGAATATTTTATAAAGATATATTTTATGTCAAAAAATTGTTAGCTTCTAACCTTTATAACTCAAAGAGCACTTTATGAAAAATAATTTTATTATAGTGTTTTGGAAAGCCCTCGAGATAAGCTACAAGAATATGTAATAAAAAATATAGGATTCCATCTAAGAAATTTAAGGTAACCTCATTCTGACCTTGGTAACACTGTCCAAGGTCAAACTGATCAGATCAATGAATAGATTTTTTATAACTTTTGTCTAAAACTTTTTCTGTAAAACGTATACTTTTCGAGATTTTTCAGTGTTCCGATCTTTTTGGGATACCCTGTTATATATATATTATAATATATATATGTGTGTGTGTGTGGGTGTGTGTGTGTGTGTGTGTGCTGCGCGCGCGTGTGTGTGTATATATATATTATATATATATATAAGAATAAAGGGTATCATTAGAATATCGCAAAAAATTTATAGATAAGAAAATCTTGCAAATTTTAAAATCATCTTTATTTTTTGAATGATCTCAAGAATACAAAGTTTCACTGTGGATATCACGTTGCAGGACATCCTGCGTATATATACACATACATACATACATACATACATACATTCATATACAGGGTGTCCCATAATTCGCGAACCACCGGGAATGGGCAGATAGAGCGTGTTAAACTGAATAGAAAAGTCCTGTATCATTTTGCGATATTCGCAATAATTATTGAGTTATTAACTAAAATATCTAAACGAATGAGCGGGTAGAAAGCGGTAGGCCGGACTCGGTGTGCATGTCGGATGACTTATTTGTTATATGCCGCTTAGTATCAAAAGTATCATCTTACTTTTCGGCGCCACTACATTGGTCGCCGCTTGCTGCATGACGCCGCCTCTCGATCAAATAATGCTTTTACCTGCTTATTCGTTTAGATATTTTAATAAATAACTTAATAATTATTGCGAATATCGCAAAATGATACAGGACTTTTCTATTCAGTTCAACACGCTCTATCTGCCCATTCGCGGTGGTTCGCGAATTATGGGACACCCTGTGTATATATATATATATATATATGATATATATATGTATATATGAATGTATGTATGTATGTGTATATATACGCAGGATGTCCTGCAACGTGATATCCACAGTGAAACTTTGTATTCTTGAGATCATTCGAAAAATAAAGATGATTCTAAAATTTGCAAGATTTTCTCCATCTATAAAATTTTTGCGATATTCTAATGACACCTCCTTCATTCTTATTCAATATTTATGGGGTTCAATTGTTATAAATTTTTTTTACATAATATATATATACATATTTCTAAAAGTAACAATTCTGAAAAATAAGCAGTCTCTTGCTTATTTTAAATAGTTGTTAGTAGTAGAAATATTTAGTAATAATAAATAGTAGTTACAATAGTACAATAGTAATAATAATAGTTATAAAGTTGCAGTAGTAGTAACAAAAAAAGATATTTTATGCCAAGATGATCCATTCGTCTGCTAGTTGCTTAAAAATATCTTCTCCCAGAACGATTTGCATGTGCGTTCTGGTTATTAAAAAAAGATATTTTATATCAGAGACGATTTATTCGTCTGTTAGTTGTTTCAAAATATCTTCTCCCAGAACGATTTGCATGTGCGTTCTGGTTATTAAAAAAAGATATTTATATCAGAGACGATTTATTCGTCTGTTAGTTGCTTTAAAAATATCTTCTCCCAGAACGATTTGCATGTGCGTTCTGGTTATTAAAAAAAGATATTTTACATCAGAGACGATTTATTCGTCTGTTAGTTGTTTCTAAAATATCTTCTTCCAGAACGATTTGCATGTGCGTTCTGGTTATTAAAAAAAGATATTTACATCAGAGACGATTTATTCGTCTGTTAGTTGCTTTAAAAATATCTTCTCCCAGAACGATTTGCATGTGCGTTCTGGTTATTAAAAAAAGATATTTTACATCAGAGACGATTTATTCGTCTGTTAGTTGCTTCTAAAATATCTTCTCCCAGAACGATTTGCATGTGCGTTCTGGTTATTAAAAAAAGATATTTTATATCAGAGACGATTTATTCGTCTGTTAGTTGCTTCTAAAATATCTTCTCCCAGAACGATTTGCATGTGCGTTCTGGTTATTAAAAAAAGATATTTTATATCAGAGACGATTATTCGTCTGTTAGTTGTTTCTAAAATATCTTCTCCCAGAACGATTTGCATGTGCGTTCTAGTTATTAAAAAAAGATATTTTATATCCTCATATAATTGAAGCAAGTTGTAACGACAAAAGCTTACAAATTATTGGAGAAAATTGCAGTAATCACTGGCGATGTATTTTTTTTGACGGCACCAAGCTTCGAGTGTACGACAATCTATCTGGCTGTACATACGAAACATTGAAGGCTAAAGAAAAAAATTACATTCATCGCCGTTATCCACAAATAAATAAAAATAATATAATATTTGAAAACGTTCAAACACAACCTGATGGTATATGTTGTGGAATCTTTGCTGCCGCATTTGCTACAACTATAGCTTTAGGAGAAAATCCTTGTAATGAGACATATTCTGCTGATGTTAAACGTATGAGACAACATTTCTTAAAAATAATAGCAGAAAATAAACTGTCACCTTTTCCTAACTAATAAAATTTTATCATTATACTAGAAATGTGTAATTCTAATAAATATTGTTGCAAAAAAGTGTCTAATACAAATGTCTCATTTGCAAAATCGAGAAGACGAAAAAAATACATATATTATGGTTGCGTTCTCACGGGAATGGGCGATGGAGGGGCCCATTTCATTCTATATATGCATAAAAATGTTTTGTATATTATATAATATTCTGTTATATTATATAAAAATATACAGCTAGTTATTTGAATATATTTGCTATTTTCTCAATTATTGATAAGAGAAGAAAAGCGAATTGTGCGTACTGCATACATTGTAATTTATAGAAAATTACAGGTAATATCAATATACGTACCATACACGTATGCTTATACATACACGTATGTGTATACATGTATGTGTATATGTATTTGTATATGTATATGTATGCATTTATGCATGCATTTATATATGTAAGAAATATATACATATATACATGTATATAGATGCATATATCCATGCATAAACATATATATAATATGTACATGGTGATTAAAAAATCTGGCAATGGCCAATTATCTCCGAAAATAGTGGTCTTATGAAAAAAATACTAAAGGTGTTGACTTTTACCTAGGTGTCAAATTTTGAGATCATTTATAGGTCAACTTTTTAAAATCCTTTATTTTTTATTAGATATTCTTGTAGCTTATCTCGACAGCTTTCCAAAGCATTATAATAAAACATTTTTCATGAAGTACTTTTTGAATTATAAAGATTCGAAGCAATTGTTTGACATAAAATTATATCTTTGTAAAATATTCAGTTTTACGTTATCATACTTTTTATTTTATGCACATAATAATGAGACCAATTTGGTGTAAAGAAAATGCACCCAGCAAACACAAAATATAACTGCTATGTTACATGTATATAATACTATATAACGTGCATGTTACATGTAACATATACGGTAATTTCTCATTCATAGATGTAACATTTGTAATATGACATATGTTATTTATATATTGTAATTACATCCCAGATAGCATCGATATTGTAGGATGCCGAAAGATAATCTTTCGCTAAGTCACTATCCTATCTATAATTACAATAAATAATAGAATCCATAAGTGGGAAATTACAACTAACGTGTATGTTACATGTTACATGCACGTTATTTACGTGTTATATAGCAATTATAATGTTTGCTGGGCAGTTGCTTCTTGAAAACTACATACGTCTTTTGCAACTGTGTTTCTTTGCACCTATTGATTGGTCTTATTATTCCGTGCATAAAAAGTATAAATGTATAATGAAAATTGAATGTTTTACAAGATATTGTCAATTTTATAAAAGAATTGTTCACTTCAAACCTTTATAACTCAATAAGTA